TATCATAGGAATAAAGTTAACGAGCTTCATTCCTCAAAGGGTCCTATTAGTTGCATGCATGTAAAGAAACGTCAGAATACATACAAAAGTACGTTTACGTTTATGTAATTATGATATAACTACACAGACATATCCATACAAAAACACAGAATTACCTCGTTATTTTCATTTTTTTTAAAACGAGTTTCAGTTGTACCTATTATGCGGATGATGTACAAAAGAAATTAAAAGACGTATTTAAAAAGAATACAAACGAGTGACAAATTGGTAAATTCTTTCCGGCTTTTGTTACTAGTTTGGTGTACGGTATAAGTTTTACAAACAATGACAATCATAAAATGTTAGTTTTGGAATTAAAGCAATATTATATATGTTATGTATGTAACTAAAAGGTAATTTCATCGAATGCACTATTTTGTTAATTGCCATACAAACGCCATACCGTAGCTAGTCTAAAAGGGCCTACCCCAATATTATGTTAGTTAGTCTAGTTCTGACAATAAAGAAAGTACAACGAAGTAATCGTAGTTTCATTACTTAAATAAGTGTTGTTAAAAGGTCATACTGTTAGCTCGCTCGACGAAGTACCGCTGGTATCTTAAATAAGTGTCGTTCAAAACCAAACTATCTATTAAAATCAATTCAGATAAATCTACGAGTTCATCCGTTAAAAGGAATTAAATCTAGAACTAAATAATTATTACGTGTGTGAAAGTGTCAACCGAGTTATTTTATTAAAAAAAAAGTGTGTTTTAATCATCCACGTAACATATACTTGACTGTAAATTTTATTTTTTAGAATTGTAAGTCACGTTATCTACATGATTTTAAAATGCTTTTTGAAAAGTAACATACAGTGTGAAAATACTGAAACTAATCCTACAAGCATTACGTCAGTTGCAATAGATGTTACGGTCAACGATTTTTACCAATTGGGTACCAAAGAATTGCAGTACTGACGCAGCATTGTACACAAAATCAATTTACCTTATGTCCGGAAGACTTTAACATGATAGACGATGTTAAAGATATAGAAATGGGTGTTCTAGAAGTTGACAGAAAATTGATTATAGATTATTGTTCAGGAACAGTAAAGGATGTGGGATGTTTTAGTTTTAGGGAAATGCAAAGATTAGCTAAGGAAAGAAAAGAATGGTGGTGCGTGTCCAGTTTTAGGACTGACGACTTTGTGATTTATGATGACGATGATGAAGTGAGTAAGTACTTATATTGTCATTGTTTTATTCCCAAAACCATTTGTTAAACGTCATTGGTAAAACCTAGCATGTACCAAATTCCAATGTTAAAAGCCCGAAGAATCATGGTATTTTATACAAATCCCTAGATTTACGACTGATGTTGATAGATCTTAAGATTTGCAATTAAAAACTATTATTCGGGCTTTTACAATCTATAAACTTTGGTTTTGATGTCTATCCGACGCGTTAATTTAAATCTTTGTTTGCTTGTATGATGTCCCATTTCAATACGTTTTTTTACAATTAGAAATGTTTTCGCCTCTAAGCCAAAGATTTACGTATTATTTGTGATTTGTAAGCCCATATCACTCTTCGTTTAGAACTTAGAACCCTACAGAATCTAAATTTCCCGAATTAAGTAACTATCTACGGTATAAAAATCTGTGTTTGATAGTAGTAACGTAAAAACAAGTATCAATCCTAAGAATTTCCCAGTAAAACTTTGTACTAACCATAGCTAATAGCTATAAAACCTCAAACTTTCGTATGCCTACCAAAATTCACATGGTTTAATCTGAGTGACATTGTACGTAAATGTTTAAAAAGGTCATTTTAGAGCAACTTTCACATTAACAAAAAAATATGATTTTCCATTACAGCACAACAACATCAGCAAATCATCAAAAGTCAGTTTTTTTTGTAATTCCACCAATTTGTTTTTCGCTGTTCCGCAGTTTTTAAGAAGAAATCCCTACTGAACATTTCTTATTATAACCTAAAACATTAATTTCTCTTTTTGCATTGAGAAATTATGCTCATCAATTTAGAAAAAATTCTTTTAAACACGTTATACTAGGAGAAAATATTTATAAACGTGTATATGTAAATCATATTTTTAAAGATCGTTATCGCTGTTTGTAAGTATTTCAACGTGCTATCGACGTAAATATAGATGTAGGACAGTTTAACGTAGTTTAACTACGAGGGTATGTTTGAGATCAAACATCTTTCATATCCTTTTTAAACTGAATAAAATCATTTTCTGTCATTAGAGAATTCGTGATTGAAAGCGAACAAATTGAAAGCATCATTCCGGGTGCCGTTTTCAGCGGTTTATATGCAGTTATTTTCGCATGTGTTGATCCGCAGTCAACTCCTATGATTTAATGAATATCTACGTTTCTTTATATATCTGTGGGTGTATAAAGGTAAGGCAAAATGTTCACCGAACAATTACACATTTCTTTTTCGATATATTTTCTGTCTTGTAACTAAGCTGTAAGTCATTTAAAGAAAAATTATGCCTACGAGATAATTTGTCAGCAGGTTTGAGGATTATTGGTAGGATGCGAAATCCTTCAACATTAAATTCTGAATAATTTTTTGTCAAAGAGTCATTTAAATTATGATTATGCCTGTGAAATAATTTTCCAGCAGGTTTGAGGGTTATTTATAGGGTGTAAAACCCTGCAATATTAAATTCTGAATTTTCAATTGGTGTTTTTTTCCCACAATAACCTTTTTGTAACTAAGCCCTAAGAGTCATTTAAAGGGTGCAAAACCTTTCAATATTAAATTATGATTCTTTAGTTGAAGCTTCTATTGTCCCACAATTCATTTTCGGATCTAAACTGTAATGTCATTTCAATTAATATTAAAACCGTGAAGTTTGTCAGCGCATTTACAGATAAGTTATAGGGTGCTTAACCCCTCAATATTAAATTATAATTTTGAAGTTTTTCATGCCCCACAATCACTTTTTGTTACTAAGCTTTAAGAATCATTTAAGGTAGAATTATGTTTATGAGGTAATTTATTAGCAGGTCTGAGGGCTATTAATAGGGTGCGAAACCCTCCAACATTAAATTATTATTTTTCAGCAGAAGGCATTTATACGAATGTTTTTATACATCGCACGTCGCATTTTTCAAAAGATTGAGAGTTCGGTTAGTTTAGGACAGTTTTCAGAAAAACAGGTGACATTTTCAGATAGACGTAGTCGAAAAAATATATTCCGCATGTTAACCAAATTATGCATTTTCGCTCGTATGATAAAAAAAGAAAAATCATCGAAAAAGAAATGTGTATGTAATTGCTACTTTCTGCGCATATTTTGCCTTACCTGTATATGTTATGTGATATATACATAAGCCACATTTTCACAGCCTAAAAAAAACTACATTGCTTCTTTGACATCTAATGGGAGTGTTAGAATAGCATTTTTTGCTGTTTTAAACACCTTTGAACAAACTATCTCGCTATTTTTGATTCATTAGAATAAAAACACCGACATGCGTGTAAAACCGACAAAATCCAACTGTTACTTCATTATGAAGCAAAAAATCTTTTCAAAAGAAACATAATTTAAGCACGAAGTAAATAAAAAGCATTTTGGAAACGGTTTCTACGAAACAAAACAAAAATAGAAATATTTATAAAACCGTTTGAATTAGAAGATCTTTATTAAACGTAAAACATTATTCTATTCACCTTTCGAGTTTATTGAATTTACACAGAAAATTTTAAACAATAGAAGTAATGCGATTATGTGTCGCTTATGGAAGGAAAAGTTCTTGGTTTGTTTTAGAAAAGTTTTATTAAACCTCGACAGTACTGTTTCGGCCGCTGTTATAATAAAATTATAATTATTGTTAAGTCCTTAAACAGTAGCTCAAGTAATTGACTTTAAAGCTATTTAAAGACATAATTTTAATTATAATTTTAGTGTTTTCTATGTTCACCCCTTTTGATAATCTAGTTGAGGAGCTTTGTGCAACGATTAGTTACATAGCCCAAAACCCTTTAATATAAAATTACTTTTTAGGGAAAGTTGTTTTTGTTCCACAATAGTTTTTAGTACGTTTGCTCTAAGAGTCACTTGAATTACGGTTAGACCTATTTGTCAAAGAGTCTGAGCGTTGTTTATAGGATGGATATAGTTTTTATTTATGCGAACAGTAATCTAATATAGGTCTACCTCTAATCCTCCTAACTCCTGTTTCTGCCTCTAATATGTTTCTGACTAGACCTTCATGCCTAAGAAGGTGTCCTACCAACCTATCTCGTCTATGTTTTATTGACTTCCATAGAGTCCTCTGTTCTCCTATTCTTTCTAATACCTCTTCATTTCTAACCTTCTCTATCCACTGTATTCTCATCAATCGTTGGTTACACCACATTTCGAATGCTTCTGATCTTTTCTTTTCCGCCGCACCCCCCGTCCATGTTTCGCATCTTTACAGCGCCGCGCTCGAAACATACACCTTCAACAATCTCTTTAGAATTTCTAAATTAATCGATCGCGAGCATAGAAGTGACTTCTTTTTCTAGAAGGCGACTCGACCCTGCGCTATATTCTGCTTTATATCCCTACTATTCCTTCAATCCTGACTTATTTGACTTTCTAGATACCTAAAATCAGCCTCTTCCTCTAATCTTTCGTCTCCTATATTTATATTCGCTCTTTCCCTAACTTTTCTTTCCTTGCATACCAGTATTTTTGTTTTACTTTTATTTATTTTTATACAATACTGCTTTTTCAAAACCGCTTTTATTTAAAGGTATCTCCAGCTCTTCCTTGCCCCTGTAAATCTATCCCTACAGTTGTACTGTCTTTAATGATGATGCTGATCGCGTAGCGGTGACTGTGTGCATCCCAGTCTGACTCCCTTCCTAATATTTACTTCTCTACATTGCATCCCCAGCTCTATAACTGCCTGTTGCTCTTTATACAAACAAAGTATCACTCTTCTATCTCTGTAACTCATCCCTACATTTTTAAGTATATTTTAAAATCCTTACCTGTTGCCATATTAAATGAGGAAAATCTTTGGCGAAAAATGCTGTAACCAAGACGTGGGCACAACAGAGAAGAAGCCCAAACACAGCGGCCACCCACACTTTGAGAGGCATCATGGCATAAGCGAGAAACGCAACGAAAACCACTTGCCATGTGCCCTCTGCAGCCACCCGAATTGTTGACATTGGTGAAAATATAGGTAACGCTAACACACAAAATGTTGCCAAGAAAAACATCACCGCATAACAAACCCATAGCAAATACGCGTCCTGCATGTATCTGAAACAAGAGATACAAAACGTAAAGAAATGGTGTACGTACTCGCATTAGTGTGCCTTCATACGTTAGAAGTTAGCGTAACCAATAATTAAAAATTATGTATTCATTTTTAAAAAAAAATTCGATTAGGTAGATCGCATTATAGCGGTAACTGCCGAGACCAGAAACACCACTCGGGAAAACCCCCCCATATTCATACACACTGACAACTGTGTCCAAAACAGTTAGTTGACTTAAAACTTTATTTATACTGAGTCAAACGTTTAAATTTTATAAGGGAAAAGCGTCAGCAAGAAATGAGAAATGACATTCCTCAATTATCATCTTTAAATTCAATTTCAAATTTGTATATATGTATCTAAATAATTATAAAAGTAAAAAACATAAATATTTTTTTTTGGGGTGGTAAATAAGATTTCAAAAAATATTAAATCTATCGTAAATAGGTACAATCGTGATTCTTTACAAAATATGAGAAGCACGAATATAGGAGGGTGAGAAATAAAAAAAATTTCAAGCGTTCTGCGATAGAAAGAAAATGATTGCCAATAATCTTCAAGAAGCTAATTTTGTATCCATTTTTATTCATTCTATTGAGATCCGTCGAATGGGAGGAGCCTAAAAACATGGCGCCGATTAGGGAAAATTTATCGTAGTTCCTATAGTGTACCGTGCAATTTCCAAGTTTTTAAATAACGATAAAATGATAAGTATTGACACAACATGTGATTGGGCTGACACAAAGCTTCGGAAAGGAAATTTCGTTGAAGGTGAGCGTGTTTTTAATGCCAATCACATTATAAAATTCGGAAATAACAAATCCGGAAGCTAGCCTTCAAATTCCGTCAAGTTTACTGCCTACTTTTTACAAACTTCGGATTTAAAAAGTGATTCACGTTATATAATTGGTGAGGTGATTCTGGGTGATTTAAGCAATATCATATCAATGACTTGCACGTGCAAAGCCGATTTAAGAGAACGTTGCAAACACATTATTGCAACTTTGTTGTATTGCAGCAGGTAGGTTCTTAACCTCAAAATACTTATATCGTATCATTAGAATTGTGTTAAATCAATTACACAGGAATAAATAATTTCTCACTTTATAATTTTAGTATGATTCTAGTTTTAAATATTAAGGTTATGGCTGATGGTAAATACTTGCTGAAATATAATCATGTGCATTAAAATGACGTGAACAAATTTTTATTCCGGAATTCACTTCTTTGATACCTACTGCTTTCATCCAAGCTTCTATTAGTTTACTTTTTTCTCTAATTTTCCGAATATATTTTTTACATATATAAAACGGTTAGTTTTTATTGGAAAGTAGTTAATGTAGGTGAAGAGTGAAGATCTATGTCTGAAGTGCTATTGCAGCTTTTCACTGAACATATTAATTTTTTATTTGATTTAACTTTAGAAGAAAACTTCGTCGACTCCATCATCAAAAAATTTTTTACTTTTTTAACGTGTTTTATTATTTCAATAAACAATATTACAATTTGCGTGCACAGTTCCTATGTAAATTTTTCCCTCATTCGAATTATAAATTTTGTCACCAGATGGTGTATACCCATTTAACGGATCCCAATATCACAATAGAAGTTCTCGATACTACTTTAACTGGATAAACAGTGACAGAGAATTAATTTAGGTGTAAAGACTTACCGGGTATGCAAGAAGACCAAAAGCAATATGAAGAGAACGCAATGGGCAGCTAAATAAACATTTTGTGCTGTTGGACCTTGTGCATAGGCCAATCCCAAGTTGGCCAAGACAGCCGTCAGGATCACGAAAAGCGCAACGACGGCAACGACGCTTGAGTGCTGCAATTTACAGACATAGCGCTGATAAAGCTGTTCAAGCTCGTCATTTTCAAAGCGATGAGGGTTGAAGAGACGCCCCAAAAGACGCGGGGACGTCATCGCTTTAACGCTATGGTCCATAATGGCTCACAATGATGACCGCAGACGCCAAAAGTTAACGATTACGAATTGTATCAGTCTGGAGAGAATTTTGGTTTGCGCCGTCGAGCCATAACTGCAACAAAACAATAAACTATTTAATATTTATGGTTCTGAAACAGTATACAGTGGAACCTTCACAACTTGAATTTCAAGGGAAATGCCACACATTTTAAGATAAGTAAAAACGTTTCTTTTAACAACAGGGCATAACTTATAAATATTCTCTTTTGATTCATTTCAGGCAATGAATGAAAATATAAACAATATATGTGTTATTTAATACGTAGATATATTTATGTGTGTGCCTATATTTCACCCTGCAACCGAAACTACTGTTTATATGTGGTAGTAGCCCCAAGTTTCCCATCGAGCAATAGGGTGGTTGCCTGTCGATAGTTAAAACATACGGGGGTTAAAAAAAAGTCGGGAATGTAGTACAAGTAAGACTGCACCACTGTATCCACTTGAATATTTTTTAATGTTTCTGCTACAGCTAGAATGTTCTCGAATATTTAGAATAATCCTCCAATAGAACATTCTACAGTGAACTGAACTGGAAGAATTCAGAACGCTCTGGAATGTTTGAATAGTGGAGCCGGGTTCTGATTAATAAATAAAGTTATTTTCATATATCTATTTCGACCATGCTCTAAAGAATATACTCTTTTATAATGTCCGAGAATTTTCCCTTTTAGAATAAGAGAGAATGTAAATCTAGCGGAATCGGTTGTGGTGAGCTTTTAAAAAAATAAAGATATACATAGATACAAACACTGTTTTTCATCATAATACGTTATTTTTGCATGAATTAAAAAATGTACGGTTCTTGTGTTTTATTCTTGTTATTTATACGGACTCGTCAACAGCGCAATTATAAGTGGAATTTGAGGGTGAACATTTAGTTGTAAGTCGTGGCTGACAATAAGTTGTTTCACATACTTTATTATAACCTGCAGATTAGTAGAATTCCCTGACCTGAAGGCATAAGTGTGTATTTTTGTTTATTCGTAGATTTGAAAAATTGGACCTTCACGCTTGATTTACTGATATTATAAGTGTTTCAACGTAAACCTCATGATTAAAATATTCACGTACTGTTCGAGAAACTCTGAGAAAATTCTTTTAAATCTCCCATCGATTTATTGATGTTTAGAGAATCAAAAATTTTACTTTATACTTAGCATCCTTGCTTCAAATTAATTTTCTTACCTGCTTGATTCTTTGGGGTTATTGTTGTAAAACCAAAATTAATAAAACACTTATTTGTCTCAACTAAAAGGAGATCATAAATTTATACCTATATATAAAATATTTAAAAAGCTTTTAAGAGATCTTGTTAGTCAATCAAAAATTGACACAAATAAAATGTCCAAATCATACTTTCTATCCAAAACAGTAACTACATACCTGTTAAAACAAAGGATAGTAAAAAATAATTTATTATCAAAAGTCCTAAAAATATAGAAGAGCGTTGACATCATCACTAGGGATGTTGTAGGTATACTAAAATGATTATTTATAAAATTAATTACCAACACGAGCCTGAAAAAGCATAGACTAGGGTAATTTTATTTATTTTATTAATATTCTATGGCAGCCATCACGATTTATAGTAGTAGACATATACATTACACTATTAAATTAAAACTTAAGATAAAATTGACATAATTGAACAGGATCATAGATATGGGGAAACAATTTGAAAAACAATTAAATGATAAAGTCTGAAGAAATAGAGACGAATCAACAACGATCCTGTTCAATTATTGTATAAGGAAATTCATCATGATAAAACTGGTATGTTACATTGTATAATTGTAAATTCATATAAGTGCCAATTACACTTGACCGCACCAAAAGTACTGATTCTTTTATGCACAAAATGCACCAGAATTTGGAGGTACTCCTTGGCATGTTAGGTTTATTTCTCCGCCAGTAACGTTTATATTGTTCCAATACCAATTCTGGGCAACACCTTCGCCAAGCAGAATAAAAATATTCGTACCTCCTGCTTGAACTGTGCCACGTACGTTTGTTATGGTAACGTTAAGGATTGGAACGCCATTGCCGGGAGTACCTGTAGGACCCGGCACGTTCATATAATCACCTCGCATCAAAATTCCAAAATCGGTTATATTTCTTAACGTAATATTGTCATAAGTAACGCCGGAAACTAATCCAGTCGCATTAACCACCGTTTTTATTCGAACTCCGTTCTCTGAATCCACTACAGTAGAATCGGTGATGTAAACGTCTTCAACGACATTATTTGTTCTGTTACCGACGGATCCTATCGATATCCCATGACCACCAGAACAGAAAGCACGTGTAAAATGAATGTTTTTCCCGGATCTAACGGCCAAACAATCGTCCTGATTATACACGGTAGTGTCGCTAATGTAAACGTTTTCGGAACCTTTAACATTAATGGCATCGGTGTTATGACCTCCTTGGGTATCTCCATCTCTAGTATTCATAACTATATTATTTACGGTTATATTCGTGCAGTTGTGAATGGCGAAGCAATGGCGTGGTGAATTGAGGAAATTTAAATTGGTTACAACTCCGTTGTACAAGTAGCGTGTTTTGAAAAATCTCGGTTTTTGAACACCACCGTTAGCGCCAAGGGTGTCCCACCATCTCGCACCCTGACCATCCAAAACATGTCCTGCTTCACCCGTGATATTTATATTAGTACCACTGATCAAAACCAACGGGCCCTTCCATTCTGCATAGCCGAAAGAAATGTTGCCTCTAAATGTAATCGATGTGTCCGATAGACCGGTCAAATCTAAAGTTCTACCAGCTGGTACGACGAGGTCTTCTATGACAATATCATTACAAGAGGATTTAATTGTGTCAAGTTCGTCTATTGAATTTCCCGTTAATGTGCATGATGTCGCAGTGTCCGAGGAGCGACTGAAAACTACTCCTACAGTTATTGCCGCTGCTGCAACCACTACCACACCCAAACCAATTAATATTTTGAATATTAACCTCATTATTGTTGGGACACGGCAACAGTCTTAGGTATGCCTATAAAGAGAGTTTTGGTAAAATTGGAAATGAACAAACTTCTTTCACTCTTCAATACTGTAATCTCTTCACTCACACATTAATTGAATTAAAACCTTAAAATATTAATGCTAATTTTCAAAATTAATAAAAACAAATAGACAAAATTCTCAAAAATCAGTCATAAACGGTACGTCGGACAAACAAGTAGAACATTCAGTACCAGAATAAATAAGCGTTTTAAAGGTTTCACACATCAAAAACATAATTCTAAATATTCCAGTCATTTCTACTAAATTTGAAGTAAATGCATATTATATAATTCAGAAAAATATTCTCAAATCTTTAGAAATAAATAAAATTATAAACGCAAACTTATTGTAAAATAACCAAACACTTCACCACATTCAAACATGTTGAAATTTCATCCGTCTAATAGTAAATTTAAGTTTTACGTACATATACATATAAGCTACTATGCCCCTAAAATTCTCAGCGTATCACTCATCCAAACCTAACGAATACACTGTATACTGGAACACTTGTCGTTTTTTTTAAATAAAATTTTATAAATAGTTGTTATTTGTTAAAGAAATTGAATCATAAACTTTTACCAATTAACTTTACATATCATTCGCATTTTTGGTGTCTGTTATATCTTAAGGGTACGATAAGTAATTATCTTTGTTATCTTTCATGCACTCATTTATTTTTAT